GGGCAAAAGGCTCTGGGACCACACAAGCACAGGTTCAGATCCTACCTCTGCCTGCAGCCAGGCCATTCATCCCCTCTCACCTCAGTTCCCCCATCTGTAAAATGGGCATCACAGTGGTACCAACACCCTGGGGCTGCTGTGAAGACGAAGTCACACAGCCCACGTAAAGCAATGTGATGGGCTTGCCGTGGCACTTGATCACCTTTTTGCCATTTATCGTCCCGAGATGCAGCAAGCTGACCTCCCACCTCCCCTGACAGGCAGTGCCTGCCCAGCCAGCACTTCCCAGGACGGCTCCTCTCTCCACCTCTGCACATGCAGTCCATCTGTCAGGAGCGCCCTCCTACCCTCTGTGCACTCCATGAGCATCTCCCAAAACCAGCCTCTGGGAAAAGGTCCGGATGCGCCCACCCTCCACCCTCAACACTCCAGCACCTTCGTAATAATAGTAGCACCTGCTGGGCACTTAATGCACACTAGGCCTGGCACTAAGCTCTTTACACAATACAGCATTTCACCCTTACAAAAGCATGTGGGAATCGGCACTAGTAACCCCATCTCATCACCAGAGAAAGGGAGGCGCTGAAAGTAGATGGCATGCCCAGGGTCCCATAACGGGCAAGTGGGGGCCCTGGGGCCAGAACCCGGGCCTGGCAGTGCACAGCAAACCTCCAGCTCCTGGTCCTGCGGTTGGGGCCTGCCGGCGGCCTTCCCCACAGCTCTGTCAGCTTCACCTCGCTGTCCCCGCTCCCACTCTGGCAGCACGCTCTCCACCTCTGCACAGAGCCCGCAGCCCAGGCCCAGCCCAGAGGCCCCTGCACAGAGGTGGGTAATCTCTGAACCAGAGACTCTGAGCTGCCAGGGCTCCGGGCATGAGCAGAGCATGCCCAGCATCTGCCCCGAGTCCCCAGGCCTCTTCCCCCAACACCCACAGCCTGGGCCAGGAGCAGATTTGGGCCAGCAGCTCAGGCTCGGCTGGCTCAGGCCTTAGCAGTGACTGCCCTAGTTTCTTACTGGAGGAAAAAAAGCACTTTTTGTATTTAAACGGAATGGCCAATGGGCTTTGGGAGGCAGTGCAGCAGTTTGAGGGGTGTGTGGGCTAGGTGAGGCCTGAAGGTGGCAGTTGCCAGGATGGTGCACTCTCAGAGACAATCCAGCCCCATCCAGCCAGGCCCAGGTAGGGATAGTGACTTGTGAAAGGTCACGCAGCAAGGAAGGACCCTAGCCTGCCGACTCACAGTGTGGTGCTGCCTCCCTCCCTCTCCAACCTTCCCCTCCACACTGTCTCTTTTCCTTATCCAGCAAAGGCAGAGTGGCCAGGGCAGAGACCTGCAGCGGGGGTGGGGAGACAGATTTTATAAGATTGTGTGGAGAGCACTGTGACTCCCAGGTGCCTCATCTATCCTGGACAACGTCAAGAACCACACATCTAAACCTGATTTGTGCAAGCAGGGAAACTGAGGCCAAGGGACACAAAGGTACTTCCCAGGTCACCCAGCGGGCTCCTAGCAGAGCTCACAATCAGAGGCTGAGTTCTCTGACAATTCAAACCCTCTTCCTGGCTGACCGTGTTGCGGGTTTGCAGTTTAAACTGCGGGCAGCCACCCCACTCTCCACAGCTTTGCAATTAATAACCTGTAATTTGACTGCCTCGTCCCACCTCTCTAGCCTGCCACCTAGTGGTGAAATTGAAAGCTATGGGCTATTGTTGAAAAGGACATATCCCAGGGCAGACGCAGTTTTAAAGGCCAATGGAAGACTTGGAATGTTTCAGGGAAACATCTAGAAAAAAAGGCAACTGACCTCTCTAGAAGGCACTTCCAAGAGACTGTGCACCTCCCATGCCCCTCATTCCCTGGTGACTCTGGGCAGAGTATGTGGCATATAGGATCAAAACTGCCCCTCCTGTAAATGAGTGGGGACTGGCAGACCTGCTTCTACAGCCTGAGGGTCCCATTAATTAAATTACCCATGAATGTGAACCTCAAGGTCTGCTTCCAGGGGAAGCACTGGGCAGTTTCTAAACTGGGGGTGGGGGGGACATTGGTTATATTTTGGATCCCGAAGGGCTCACACTCCCGGCATTCCCCCCTGCTAAGTCTGAGAGAGTGACTCTTTTGTTAGATAAGAGGTGGAATCAGCTCAGAGAAGGAAGCAGAGACTCCCCAGCTCCTGCCACCTGGGGCTCCCAGAGATGCCTATTAGCAGGAAGGAGGCCCCTGAGGAAGGACCTGAACTCCTCTCTGGACAAAAAAGCCTCCAAAATTGGAGCCTCCAGGAACGCAGGGCGCATCCCTGTCCTTCTCCAGAGAACCGTGCCGGCTGGCACTGAGGACCTGGAAGTGACCGCCACTGCCAGGAGCCGCCTAATGAGCAACTCACACACTGCAGCCAGACAGGGAGGGAGGGGGCCTGGGGGGAGAGACCCAGGCGTCACACCCCTGCGTGTGCACACAGGCCACATGCACACACCCCCATGTGCTCACACACCCCCAGGTGTACACACACCATCTGCACACACCCCATGTGTGCACATCCCCATGTGAGCACCATGTATACACACCCCATGTGCACTCCCCATGTGTGACATCCCCATGTGCATGCACACATCTATCTGCACACCCCCATGTGCTCACACACCTCATGTGCACATGCTGATGTGCACACCATGTGTGCACTCCCCATGTGTGCACACCCCATGCACATACACACATGTGCACATCCCATGTGCACACCCAGCATGTTCACGCCCTGTATGTGCACACTCCACATGTGCACACCCTTTGCGCATACACCTCATACGTATATATATCTCCACATGTACACACACCCTCATATGTGCACACCCCTCACATGCACACATGTACACACGTGGTCTCCTGTGGACACAGAATCCCTCACACCCACATGCACCCCACATGCACCCACACATAGATGTACAGAAACCTACCCACAGAAAGAGACCCACACCCCGTGTGTCTATCCTGTCCCTCCCTGCTCCTAAATCTCTTCTCAAATGTCACATCACTGTTCCCATGCTTGTCAGATCCCAAGACCAAGGTTCAGAACAACACCCAGGCACCTCTCTGCACACCTACAGCACTGTGGCCCTGGCAGAGGACAGCTGCTCAGTACACTCACCCAGCATGTCCACTTAACACATATTTATTTATCAAGTGCCCTCTACGTGCCAGGCATGGCTCTGGGTGCTGAGTGAATGAAGTACCCCTATGGCCAGTGTCCCAGTGGTGGTGGGTGAGGGAGAGGAATGTGCTAAGTTGGAAGGTGGGCTGCTCTGAAACTTGGGCTCCTCTTTAGTCCCTGCTGTGTGACCCTGAACTGGTCATGGCCCTCTCTGGGCCTCATTTTCCTCATTTGTTAAATGGGGTAAAGATGATTTTGAGCTACAAGGAGCCTTGTAGGATTGGTGGACAGATGAGAGAGAAAAGCTGGTACTTAGCAGGGCCTCTCTGGATGTCCCTTCCTGCCCCCAGGAGAGTTTCCCCAGGGCAGGGGGGAGGAATGAAGGTGGTACAGATGAACCGCTCCTCCCCACCTGCCCCAGGCTTTGGTTTTCATCACTGAGCACCACCCCTCCCTCAGGACAGCAGCTCTCAGGGGCCCCTGGAGTTTCCCCCTCCTCAAGGCTCATGTGTGGGGAGGTGACCCTGTACGTGCAACCTTGAGACGCCAGACCCCCGGAGCCCCTGCCAAACCTTGCCCAACATGAGCCAGCGTGCCCCTCTCAGAACAAAACAGCAGTCAGACCACCCTCCAGGCCTAGCCAGCTCCGCCACCCTCCCCGTCACCTTCCCCACGAGTATTCTGGAGCAGAGCATTCACTGCCCCCCCCAGGCCCGCCCAGAATCAGGCCAGCCGCACAGGCTGCTGCACAGGCACTCACAGCAGCCCAGCTGCAGAGAGGTTAGCTGGGTGGGGCAGGTGACAGGGCCCCAGGGCCCCAGGGCTGAGATTTGGGGGAGTGACCATGGAGGAAGAGGTAACAGGAGACTTCATTCCCTCTTCTGCAGATAAGGAAACTGAGGCTCAGGCAGGGAAGAGAAGCAAGGGTTCAGACAGAGCCAGAGAAGGAGCTGGGCTCAGGTCAGGCAGACAGCCCTGCTCAGATTCCCGCTGTGCCACAGAATTGCTGTGTGACATTGCGCAAGCCACTTAACATCTCTGAGCCTCTCACACAGGTTGTTGAGAGGATGAAATCAACCATCAGTATATCAAGTCCCCTGCACACAGGAGGTGGGTAGGTGCTCATAAAACTTCCTGTCCTTCCCCAGCAGGGCTAAAACCCCTTGCGGACAGGGCTTTCTGCCTGTCCTTCCTGTCTCCCATCTCACTCCTACGCAGGGCAGTGGAAAGAGCACTGCTTGAGGAGTCAGGACCCCTTGAGCAGAAACCTCATGTCTCCAAGTCCCTGTCTTTCATCTCAGCTTGTCATGAGGATCGTCCACCTCCCTCACAGGCTCAAAAGAAATCAAGGAGATGGAAAGCTTGGAAAGCTATATGAATCTGGGCAGATGTCAGGGTTTGGTGTTAGGAGATGACCACTCTTAACAGCAGATGGGTGGATGGGTGAGCAGGTGGGTGTGTGAGTGGGTGGGCGACAGAGCTCAGTTCTCAGTGAGTGAGCACATGTCAAAGACCTGGGGCCTCCCCAGTAAAATACTGCCCAGTGCGCCCCCTCGGACCAGCAGCATCTTCTCACACACAGGTGGCCACTTGGACGGCCAATGCCCTCCTCCCCAGGAGCCTTGTCCCTGCAAACCAGACTCCCCAGAAAGCTGCAGTCCAAGTTCCTTCGGGACTCAGAGGTGCCAGGACCACCTTCCAGTGCCCGAATGGCCCGTGACCCCCTTGGGAGCAGGGCACACCTGTCAGCTCACGGAAGGATCCCCGTGCCCAGCACAGGCCTGGTACTGAAACATACCGGTCAGTCTTTTCTGAGTGAAGGAGTGGACATGGGGAGGGCCCCGGGGGCAACTCACTGGGCACGCGGTTGATGGCTTTGAGAGGCCTCAGGACACGCACAGTCCGGATGGCCGACAGGTTGATGTTCTGCAGGTCCAGGGAGTACTCAACCATCCTGCAGAGAAAGGGGAGGAGAATGAGGGACAAAATAGGGGGGCATCAGGGACCAGGGACCAGGCCACGCAGTCTGGCCACCCGTGCACACCCACACCCGCCTGGAAGGGGCAAGTAAGGAAAGGGTCAGAATCCCGGCGACGCCCCCGTTGGCCATGTGGCCTCGCTGTCTCCTTTGTAAGCAAGGCCGGTTACCTCTACCCCCTACTGTCCTGAATACCCAGTGAGGCGGCTGGAGGCAGGGGGAATGGAGAAGCAGAGACCTCGGGTCCTCACTGCATGCCCCAGCTCTACGCCCGGTGGCTTAGCACCGCCCCCACCCCCTCCGCTCCCAGAGCAGCCTCTGAAACAGGGAGGATTAGCCCTGCTCCCCAGAGGCGGAGAACCAAGGAGCTGAGAGACCCCCAGTGACCCCGGGGGTGATTGGACGTCACAGTCACAGAAGCAGCATCTGTCAAGCCCGTGCTGTGGGGCCTGAGCCGAGCCAGAGTCCTTACATCTCCTCGAACCCCCTGGGCCCTCCAAGCCAGGACTAGCCGCTCACATTCACAGATGAGGCTGTAAGACCACCTGGCAAGTGGGCAGGAGCTCGACCAGGAGCCACACCTGAGCTGCCCCTCCCTCCCTGCGCTGCCAGCCTCCAAGTTCCACCGGGGTCTCGCACCAGGCCAGGAGTCACAGGCTACCTCTCTGGGAGGATGGCAGGCATACTGCACTTGCCTGCAGCAAAGATCCACTCTTCCCTGGGATGGCCAGCCCAGCTGGCCCCCTGCAAGGTGCCAGGCTCCAGCTTTGTGGGTTCACCGCACACACACACCCCAAGGTTTTGCTCCCGCTGTCCCTTCTGCCTGGAATGCCCCTCTCATCTCTGTCCATTGAAATCATACTCATGCTTTAAGGCCCCCTGCAGATGCCCCAGAGTCCTGGAATTTTTCCCATGAGTCCACAATGAACCAGGCCAGTCTATGTGCTAAGGGCTCAGGAATAGGTCAGACCCGGCCCCTACCCTCAGGAGTACCCACTTGGGCAGGGGAGAGACATAAAGGCAGAGACAACACTGGGGCTCTCAGCATAGTCCTCGTTCTCCCCCTCAGCCTCACCAAGCAGGTCTACCCACCCCCTCCACACTCAACCAGCCATACAGCCCCTTGAAGGCAGTTTGCCTCCTCCAGGAAGTCTTCCTAGATCTCCACAGAAGGCAGATCTCTAGGATCCCCTCTGTGGTTCCCTGCACTTCCACTAGACCCTACCTGCTCATTTGCTACCCACCCCCCTTTCTTCACCTGAAAGACAGGCCCCTGGGGCCTGCAGCCTCAGCCTGACCCTTCCTCCCCACCCCCAAACACACCACCCTGGGGCTCTGGCACTGCTGCCAGCTCCACCTGTCACCACCGTCAGCAGGAAATGAAGGCTTTTCCTACACACCATGCAAACCTGTCCAATTGTTGTGAAGCCGCCACCCCCTCCCGCTGCTTGAAGAGTAATTGAGTGAAAGTGCCTTTGCCTGAAATGCCTGCATCCATCCCCCAGCTTTCTGGGATGCAGGCTCCAGCCGCCATGCGTGCACTCTCTCCCCCTCCCTCACACGCAGAGTCACACACCTGCACACAGCCCTCAGTGCACACGCAAACGCACACACACTCACTCCTCCGACACCCTCATTCGCACACTCCTGCCAGCGCCCAAATGCAGATGTGGAGGCATGACCAAAAAAGTGAGAGAGACCTAGAACCAGAGGCAGAGACCTGGGGCACGGGAGGAGGGGGTGCCAGGGGCAGCAGCCAGCAGAGGGGGTACGGTGGAGGCTCGCCCAGGGCAGGGGGTGAAGGCAGAGGGCGATCTGATTAGGGGGCCCCGGAGGAGTGGAACTGTATGAGGACTCCGTGCATGGGTTACCCTAACTGTCATCTTCATATTTTGTAGAAAGAGCTCTCCAGGCAGCCCAAGCCATGCATGTGGCGGAGGTGCTGGGGGGTTGGCACACACAGGCGCACACACAGGCGTGTGCACACACACACCCGGCCTAGGACAGACACCCCACCGCAGGCAGCCAGGCCCAGCCAGCCCCTGCCCTGTGCCCCACCCCCACGAGTGCAGACCCCCTTCCTTCCGCCCTGGCTCTCCCCACCCTGCCAGTGGGTTGGCACCAGGCCTTGGGGAGATCCAGCCCCCAGGCTGGGTTTATGCCTTGCTGGGTGGGCTGGAGGTGGGGTTCCCAGCCCATGCCAGACTGAACCCACCCAGCGCTGGTTCAGGAGCCCCGGGCACACCTGCTGAGCCCCAGCAGACGCCAGCCCAGGGTCTCTCAGTGAAAATAGCTGCTCCGCGGGTGGCGGGCAGGCAGGCAGGGACACGGGTGCTCGCTGAGGGCCTGCTGCCTGCCGGGCGCTGTCCTCATCCTCACCTGTGCTAACCCATCAGAGCCAGCGACATCACTCAGAGCCCCCTCGCCCCTCTCCAGCCTCCCCAGGCCAGGCAGCCCTGCGGCTACAAGCCACCCAGAGCGCACCTGCTGTGGGAGCCCTCAGGACACCCTACTGCTCCCGTGCTTCTGCATGGGCTCCATGCCTCCCTGAAGAGCCAGTGGCCCCCAGTCCCAGGCTGCTGGTTCTTCAGTGAGGGTGCCCACCTTGGCCCCTGCCCCAGGAGAGGCTGGGGGACAAGAACGGGAAATGGCTACAGACGCCCTGTTTACTCAGGCCCCATAAGGAGAAATGAGTTTCACCTTCTTTTGTGTTTCTCTAAAAGGAGTGGAGGTCTGGGCCCTGGGTCTTGAGTGAGATACAAGTTGTGACTGGTTGTCACTGAGGACCATGAGTACCCAAAAGTAGTAAGTTTTAGGATATGACTGCCTCTCAGACCCCAAGCAGCTCATAGGAGGATGATCAGACTCCTGGGCCCATCTCTGAAGGGGATTGAGGCAGCCACTGCCTGGGTGACCTAGAGTGACACACTGGCCCAGCCCCTTTCCTTCACACCTGACCTGACCCTCCAGGTCGTCAGCATGGGTGCACACTTTCCACAGTCTACTGCAAAATTCCCCTGAGACCTCAGCAATTGCAGCCCTCAGGGTCTCCACTGAAAAGGCCCCAAGAGAAATCTCTTAGAGATTCAGTGCCAAGATCTTGGCTCTGAGCTTCCTGACAGTTAAGTCAAAAGGGGAAATGTGATGATGACTGAGTTCTTAGCAGCATGAAAGATCTTGGCACTGTGGATCCCTCCAGGAAATCCATTTGCCTAAACATGTCTCTTAAGTCCTAACTCTCTTTTCTATATTTCATGAACCTATTGGGATGTTCTGCTGCCGCTTCATCTCCTGTCTGTGGGAGCAAGGTAGGGTATAAATGCTTTCAGTGATAAAGAACACATAGTAAGTATACATTGAAAAATCCAGTAGTTCTCATTCTTCCCTGAGGAGAAAAGGATAGAAAGGGGACACTGGGCAAGCTGATGGGGAGAGATGGGCAGAGCACTCTGCTGGGAGGGAGCAGCTGTGGGTTCAAGTCTGACCTGGGAACCATGCCATCCTGATGCTGGTTCTGTGCACCAAGAAGTCCAACTTGGGACACTCTGCTCACAGCTCGCGTAACCCCTGCCCTAGTCAGGTCACCGTCCCTCTCTCCTAGGGCCATAGTAGCTTCCTCACTAGTCTCTAGCCTCCTGCTTTCTCAGTCGGCCAAAACCTCCTAAAATTCTAATCTAGCTGTGTCACTCCCCAACTTAAACTCTCAGTGGCTCCCCATTTCCCTCATAACAAAGCCCCTGAACACAGCCTTCAAGACCCTCCAATCTGGCCATGATGCCCTGCTCCCATGCCACACATCCCAGGCACCATGCCAAGCCTACCAAGCTCCTGTCCCTTTCCTTTGCATACTGCACTTTCACCTTTCCTTCGAAACCACCTCCTCCACAGAAGCCCCTGCTCACCCTGCTCTGTGCTGCAGACTGAATTCACCCCTGTCCCTCTGCTCTGGCTCCTCCCACACTCCATTCACACCTCCTGTCTGTTCTGGCTCCCCACAGAGCAGACCCTGAACCAAGGACTTAGGAGCAGCAGCCTATTGGGGAGATGCTCCCAGGAAGCACATGAGCTGTCACTCCGTGGGCACGGGGTGCCATCCCATCAGACACCCGCTGAGAGCCTAGAGAGTCCCCCAGAACGGGACCAGCGAAGTGAGGGGCTGTGGTGTCATCCACTGGCAGGTTGGATGCTGGCCATGCATCCCCCACCCCCACCCCCACCTAATCCAGCTGTGTCACCCCCACCCCACCCCACCCCCTCCCAACACCAGCCCTGCGCCACACACAGCAGGCACTCAGAAAGTCACTTAGCATGAATGACACCTGTGACAGGAGGCGCTACCCTCCGCCTCCGTCCTCCTCCCCCTCCCCCTGTGAGAGCTGTGTGAGCAGCGCCCCCTCCGAGAAAGAGAAGTGGGGGAGGGGCTGCTCCGCGGTGAATAACCACCAGGCTGACTTCTCTCAGGCCCCAAGTAAGACATCACTTGCGGGAGTGAGAAATTAATTCCTAATTACACAGTTACATTATCACGCAGCTTCGGTGCTAAAAGTCTAAAAAAAAAAATCAACAAAAACCCCCACTACCTCCTGCCAGCTCCGGAGCGCCTAATTAGGTAAGTAATTTTGCTTTAAAGCGAGCACTTTCGTCCTGACATCACCCCAGGAGGAGAGGCTGATCCCAGTTCCCAGGCTGTCTCTGTGGCGGGAGGGAGAGAGGGTGTGGCACTGCCGGGGTGGGGGTCGTGCCAGGGGTGGACAGGGAGGGTGGACATCTGTTCCTCAGGGCGTCCCCCACTCACTCCTGCTGAGGAGCCCCCCTGCAGCACTCCCAGCTGCCCTGGCTCCAGGAGGGGCCCAGAGCCGCAGACCCATCAACCAGTGGGCACCCCACCACCACCACGACTGGCTCAGGATGGGTATGTGACCCCAAGTGGCCCTGAGAGGCAGGCTAGCCCCTGCACTGGGACTGCGAGAAGAGGG